ACCATCGTATATTTTATACACCTATTTGCTTAAGCCTGTCACATATTCATGATAGATACTGATTAGATTTAAAAATAAAGGCTTGTGGAGTTTAGACTGTTTATAAAAACCTCATAATGAAAATTAGAAGAAAATTATTAAATCTATACATTGAATTTCAAATAATAAATGAAGCATACCACACTGTAGACAATTTGCAAGCCAGTTCATCATAAAAACGTCGTCTCCCCAGCTCCCACATTGTGTGCCTTGCCCAATTACTACAAGTAATTTTACTAAAACTTAATGTTTCCACTTGAAACCCTTGAGAGATAAAGTATTTACTGGAAATGGACTCACATAATTTAAAAATTAATTTTATAACCAGTGCTTAGGTGAGTGTTAAATTTTAATTAAAGTCAGACTTTCATCCTTGGATTTGGAACCAATGATGCTTATGCTGCAGATTTAAAAATCAGCTAAAATATTTGACTATGGCTTTATAGGAAGAAATGGAAATAAGATTTTATGCAAATGTCTAATAATTGAGCTTAATTTTGAGCTAGCCCAGTTATTTAAGTTTCAAAGCTTTAATCTCTTCTAAAGAAGTCTATTTCATAAACTTTATTTATTTATTTATTTATTTGTTTATTTTGTTTTGGAGATAGGGTTTCTCTATGTAGCCCTGGCTGTCCTGGAACTAACTCTATAGATCAGGCTGGACTTGAACTCCAGAAATCCCCCTGTCTCTGCCTCCAGAGTGCCAGGATTACAGGTGTGCATCACTACACCTACTTTTATTTTTCTATAAACTTTCAAAAGTGGAATACTCACAGAATGTTTCCTTTTTATAACATTGTATTTAGTATATCATAGAAGAGTGATCACTTTGTAAAATTAAGGTTCACTTTGAAAATGGCAGATATCTGTAGATTAGTTGTTATGTGTGGTGGTTTAGTAAAACTAAGTGAAGAATAACTAGACTAATAAGAAATATATTTACTCTATTATTTTTGAAAAATCCCATCTTTTAAAAAAATAGCTGGTCTGAATTTATGTTGGTATTTCTTTAGGGGAGCTTTCTAAGCATAAATAATCGCCCATAAGAAATTCCATAATACTTTAATTAAACTGATAGCTAAATTCCACATGAATTGATATAATCTGTTCAAAACTATACTGCTTATTCCCTACATCTGCAAAAATTTCTGTTAATGAGATCTACCCTTATTATGTCATTCAAGATACAATCATGACCTTTCTGAGAATTTTATATGGTTTTTACCTTTTGACAAATATTCTTTGCCTTACAGTCCAAAATGAAATACCTCTATGTTTGTGAACTCTTCTTCTGTCAGAAAAATAAAATAAAAGAGTTCCCTTTTGTAGCAGTTGATGTAATATCTTATTTCATTGCTGAGAGATCATTCTTTTCGACTGATTTATGATTCAGTAAATGCTGGAGTGATTTTATGAAAAGTTCTGGCCCACACTCAACAGATGTATTTCTTCTCTGAAGAATAATACTTCAGATTTACTACTCACACCTTTAGTATGTATAATACTAAAGTTTATGTAATAGGATGTATTTCAACTAGGGAGTATGGATGCTATATGAAAACACCACAATCTTCACAATCTATTACAAATAGAAAGTCTCAGCATGGTTAATAAATAGAACTATATTCACTGGATAGTAAGGAAGTCATGGTTCCTTTTCTTTCTGCCTTGGTAGCAGATTAGAAATGAACATAAAGCTTTTAAAATATTTGACTGGGATACAGAAAATACTCCCAGAATATTTATGTCTTATGGGTAACTGTTTAGTCTGTCATGCAATGTAGTCTTTCAGACTTCCTGTCTAAGAGAAAACACATCTAACTAACTCCACAAAGATTCTTGAGAATTAAGATGTTGGATCTTATTTTCTTGTCTCTCCCCAATTCCTGCAATAAATTCAAGATAACACTGCCATGATTCCTGTAGAGCGTGAGAAAGTTTACTTTAATGTGTTTTCTGATGTTATTGTCTAAAACCATTTTGATGAATTTCATCACTGTGGATAGTTGCCATGTGTCTTTCAGGCTAGGTTATGAAGGTCACACTTGAAATGCTTCAAAAACAAAGTAATCAAGTATTTCCTTGATACTAGCCTTTGATGTTCTTTTCAACCCAGTTTCCTAGTTGTACTTATTCTCTTTCAAAACTTCTCATTAATAAAATTCCATGAAAAATCCTACAAGCTTGACAACAAATCTTGTGAGGCAACTGGACCTTCTGGGCAACACTGTTAAATTTTACACTAAATCTGTCTTTACTTCTTAACAATGCCACTCAGTTAATCTCACAGTTTAGCTGTGGTTTTCTTGAAAATATTCTCCTCTCTTCAGCCACTATGCTGCCTTGAAATCTTGCTATTTTTTTTTTTAATTGAAGGACCCTTCAATGTTTACTGTATCTAAATTCAGATGAAAGGACTTCGTTAAATCTTACTATTTTTAAAATTAAAGATTCATATTCATCCTATGCTGTAAAACATTAATAAGTATATTGTCTGATTCTAGAGAGAAGTTTTTCCCAAGAAATTATTAGTTCAAATTATTATTGCTTCACAATGTCAATCCCTTCTCCCTCTCCCTCTCTTCCCCCCAACTCCCCACCAGCTCCCCACATCATCCACCCTCTGCTCCCCAGGAAGGGTAAGGCCCTCCGTGGGGGTTCCCCAATGTCTGTCTTATCATAATGGGCAGGGTCTAGGCCCTCCCCCATGTGTCTAGGCTGAGAGAGCATCCCTCCATGTGGGATGAGCTCCCAAAATCCCTTCTTATACCAGGAATAAATAATGACTCACTACCAGGGGCCCCATAGAGTGCTAAGGCCTCCTCATTGACATCCATGTTCAGGGGTCTGGATCAGTCCCATGCTGGCTTCCCAGACTTCCGTCTGGGGTCCATGTGCTCCCCCTTGTTCAGGTGAGCTGTTTCTGTGGGTTCACCATCCTGGTCCCAGCCTCTTTGCTCTTCACTCCTCCCTCTCTGAAACTGGGTTCCAGAGTTCAATTCAGTGTTTAACAGTGGGTGTCTGCCTCTGCTTCCATCAGCCACTGGACGAGGGCACTTAGGATGGCATATAAGGCAATCACCAGTCTCATTATAGGGGAACCCTGAGTGAAGTAACCCAATCACAAAAAGACAAACATGGTACTCACTCATATATAAATTTTAGACATAGGGCAAAGGATTACCAGCCTACAATCCTCATCACCAAAGGAACTAGGAAACAAGCACTCCAAGAGAAGAATGCATGGACCCTGGAAACCCTGAATGGGAAGGGGAAGGATCTCCTGAGCTAATTGGGAGCATGAGGGTAGGGGAGAGGGAGCTGGGAGAATGAGAGGTGAAGAAGAGGAGGGGAGAGGAGGAAATGGAGGAGCAGGAGATAAGTTTTTTTACAAATACTTCTAGATGGAAAACGTCTGAACACAAAATATGGAAAGATAAAGTAGATGATGTTTTAGTTATCTATGTTACACTCAAACATTTGGCATTGCATGTCTTTATTTTCAAGTCCGTGCTCAGCTCTATGCCCTTCATAGAGGTAAGAACGGTTTTATAGTTAGCATAGGGGTCAGTGGATAAAATCTACCATTCTTAGAAGATAGCTCTTTAGACTTCAGTGACCTTCTAACAAGAGGTCTAGCACACCTTAATACTCATGTTTCAATTGCCTGAACTCAATATCTATAGGCAAATAGTGTGAGAATCTCTTGAATTTTAAATCCCACATGTTAGCAGTCTATTATGTTAGCAAATTCAGTTCAGTTAAACTTTCACATGTCAAGCTGTGTATTTGCAGAATTGTTGCCATCTTAATGATTTGTATCATAGCCTTTCCAGTTGCTATTTTGTGAAAATATTAAGCCTCATACAATGCCTTGGGTGGCACCTCCCATCATTCTTTTGGCTACTTTTGCTTAGGCTGTTTTGTCTTCATGAAATATCATCTAGTATTTCCCCTGAATTAATCTTCTTCATCCTCCCTAACCTGAGGAGATAAGATGGCCTGGTTCCCTTTGAAAATTCTCATGGCTTTGCAGGGATCCATCTGTTATAGAGCCATCATTTTCTGCCTCCTGAGTTATTCATACATATATTTTCTGCTTTCTGGACTATAAGTATATAAAAAGAGTAGTTTGGCATGAACATTTGGCAAAAGAATCAGAGTTACTTGGCATCTGGAGGCAAGAAAAATTATTAGGATACTATTCAAGGGATTTATTTTGGTGAATAAATTGAAATAATATTTCCACGTACTTTTAATGCCATGTGATGTTTAAAAGTACCCTGTGAAGCTAGTTCATTCAGTAGAGTTTAATACTATGTGATGTTTTCCTTATATTTTTTAATCATCATCTGTTACATATCAGAATAAAAAATTCCAGGTAGGATATGTGCATTTATAAGAACACACATATATGATGACTATTAAAAGATATTTGAAGTATACACCTACATGACCATTTTTATGTATGTATTTTATATATAAAGAATGAAAACTTCAGGAAAATCCTATGACCTAACTTATTATAATTTTTGAAAAATATACATTCTTTCTGGAGTTTTTTAATTCCAGCAGATACCTATATCTATAGATGCAAATAGGAATAGGCAAATAATCTACTATTTTTAATCCATATTACTCTTTTATTAACCTATAAATCCTAAATATAAACTTGGTGAAGAACTAAATGGGCAAATGAACCTTGGATCTCTAGAGACTGAATTTAAAACACAGCTCTATATTCTTGTTGCTTTTTCTTAGGATTGTTGGATCACCATAGAGCAATATAGCATTTTTATCTTAGTTCCCTGAAGAAATGCCTTTCCTGAAATATGATTAAATGTTATGCCCTCAGCTTTTAGAAAAAATGTATAAGTGAACAATGTGCTTTGTCTTCTGTTATTCCATGACCCCAATTTAAGAACCCTTGAGATACATTTATCCTTAAATCCGGGGCCAAGATGTTAGTCTGTTCAATCTAAATCTCACTCTTCTGGTCAGGCAATGAGAACAAAACCCACCAAGAAATCTCCCTTTGTTCCTCAGCTTTCTTGAAATCTGGTACAATTTAGGGCTTTGTGGCTGAGCCATGTGGTTTGAATACGTTGTCATATACATTCATCTGCTGCTTTGAATCAGTTCCTCTTACTGAATTTTCACATAGTGAAAACCATTTTGTAAATTTCTTCAAAGGAAAATATGAATTCACAAACTTGAGGTGTGTAAAGAGTTACCAAGATTCATGTCTCTGTATAGTTATGAACTGAGGAAGAATGACTACATTTTTGGTTAAAGGGAGTAAGGGAAATTTCACACATGATATTTCTGGACAATTTTAATAATTTTGGTTATGTTATTTTAAGTATATTATGTATATAAAGACAAAATTTTTTATATTAAGGAGTTATATTTCATTTATTTATACATTATTCCCAGATATTATAAGTTAACATACTTGTGTATCTTACATAATTCTATCAGAAAATTTACTTGCATACAGATAAAAAAGTTAAAGGAAATATGAAGGGATCATCAAGAGTCACTATTGAATTTGATTTCTTCAAGAAATCACAATGAATGCAAACCACCATTTCCAGAAATAAACCCAACATAAGCCAGATATGATTAGTTTACATTCTTTCTTTTTTTTTACCTTTGCATGTGTAACTGTGCATGGTGTGCATGTCTGTGTACGTGTGTGTGTGTGTGTGTGTGTGTGTGTGTGTGTGTGTGTGTGTGTGTGTGTGTTTGTGTGTATGTGTACATGCATGGGTGGATTTTGAGGTTGACATTGGTTATCTTCCTAGATTGTTCTTTACCTTATGTATTTCAGGTCTCCTGATGAACCTGAGTCTAATCTGTCTACCCAGCTGGTTCTTGGAATTGCTTGTGTCTGCCCAACCTACCCACCCTCCTCATAACCTTTTAAACTGGGTACTGGGTGATCCTTACTCTAGATGTCACATTTTCCTGGTGAAATAGTTACCCAACAAATCCCTAGTCCCTCTAGGATTTTTATAAGAAAAAAGAGAAATTTTCAGGAAGGTAACATTTCTGGATTGCCCCAAAGCATGTGATGCAGTCATAATACTTTGTTTATTTTTCATGTTGATCCTACAAGGTGCTTATTTGCTATTATTGTGACTTTTAGAGGTATCATTGGTTTAAAGGAACAGTCCAATGGTTAAACCAGTGAATTTGAGGTTAAGCTCTCTCAAGATTAGATAATTCTTTTTTGTTTTGTTTTTGAAGACAGGGTTTTCTGTGTAACGTCCTGGCTTTTCTGGAACTCACTGTATAGACCAGGCTGGTTTTGAATTCAGAGAGATCCACCTGCCTCTGCCTCCCAAGTGCTGGGATTAAAGGTGTGTGCACCACCACCTGGCTAAGAATAGATAACTTTAAAGGCATAATCAGAATTCATGTGCAACGTTTCCAGTTCCAATGTCATTAGATGCTCTTTCCTGCTTGGCTACTTAAAGGGCCTTATAATCCTGTTTGCTGTGTTTTTATGCTATATAGTCAAGCAGCAATCCATAATAAAGAAGGAAAAGATAAAAGAGGGAAAGAAGGAAAGGGAAGAATGAGCAGAGAGGAGATGAGGCAGGGAAGGAAGGAAGGCAATAGGAGGGGAGAGAAGAGGAAAGTTTAAGAACTTACAGAGGTTTGTTAGATACCCTTCTATCAGGTTTGATGAAATTGGACACCATATTGGCATGGGCAGAAATCTGGCATCTAGAATAAACTAGAGGACCTTCTTTCTGGTTGTATTAGGCAATTATGCAAGAATATTAGATTATCTCCCTTTTAATTTGACTGCTCATGTACTTTCTAAAAACAAGTTTTACACACTTAGAAAACTTGGTAATGCAACAATACCTTAAAATAGCTAAACACAAAACTGAAGATATCCCTATAAGTAAATAGAGGCATAGACTGTAAACATCCTGAACTTCTCAGAATATAGATCTGTTTGGGAATTAGATGACTACAGGGACTGCTGTCCATGTTTTGTACATATGTAGGCTTTCTAAAACATTTCAAGGAACTTCAGAGACTACCCCAGTTTCTGCCAACAATACAAGAAGATCATGGACACTGAACTAACAGCAGGGAAGAAAACTGGTATTCATAGGAGAATGACAAACCTCTTCCATGGCAGATAGGAATATTTAAATATATTTGCATCTGAGAACTGAATTCTGTTCCCTTCTTTTTAGTATTCTTTATTCCAGACTATAAAATTCCTTGTATGAATTTTAAGTTTTTGAAGTAACCGAAGTAATGTTATTTCAAATAAATATAGCATCTCAGACGCCAACTAGTTTTTTGATGCAAAAAATGCATAGAATTGTCCCTATCATAACTGGTACATTCTGATGCCCCTGACTTTGGAATCATAATGTCATTTCTAGGTATCCTTCCTGATGTGTCAGCTTACATCCATAGTTTATTAATAGGCTTATTGACTATGCATTTGTGAAAATTCTCATTTAAGTACATTTCTTGTTAAATACATAACAATTTAGGAATATAAAGCACACTCTTGACATTTGGTATTCTTTGACATTCAGTTGTAGTTGGAAGTCAGGAGACAGACCTGTATGGCAGAACTTTGTGTACATTTGTGTCTCTGTGTTTCAATATTGACAGTCTGATTGTGGCTTTAAATTATAACTGGAAAAGAAATGGTACCATCTCCCCATTGTTTCAGTGTAGCACAGAATGGATGCTCTGCCTAATATTTAGCATTCTGCAAAGTGTACTATCTTCTTTCAAGCCTCAGTGGCAATTACTGGCCATACCTTTTGTTCTGCTGTCATGGTCAGACTCTGCAATCGGCCAGTCATATTCCCTAAACTCTTTTCAAAAGCTGCTACAAGGTGAGCCTGCAAAGAAAAGAGAAGAAAGATAGTTAAAATGTCAGAGTCTCCTGTGGCTAAGATAAAACCCTTCATTTTACAAAATGCTTAATTTCAGCTGTTCCAACGTTTTAAGTGCTGTGACTGTCATAGTTAGTTCTCAGTGGTGACACCCCTTTAACACATATCTTCATTCTCCATTTCTAAACCTTGGTTTCCTAAAATCAGTGGTTCGGTTTTTTGACATTTAATGTGAGCTGGGCCTCTAAAAGGGGGTGGTGTTTTTGCAAATAACAACACCTCCTGACTTGCATATCATGCAGTGATCTGACACCCAAAATGCCGAACACATTTCCCAGCTGCCAAGCTTTTAGAAAGAAAGCCCAAAAGGAGGTCACTGAAATAGTCAATGGACAAATGTTCCTCATTTCCTGACTTCCGTGATGACCTTTGAAGATATTGTTAGCGCTTCTATTGTGAGGACATTCTCCTTCAAGTGTCAGACATCTGCCGACAGCTAGAACATTATCTTTTCTCTTTTTCTACTTACAGAGAACTGAATGGGAAAGAGTTGTCTCCACTTTCAAATCTCTGTAGTCAAAAGGCTTCTCTCCCCATTTTCAATTCCCTTCAGCTAAAGAATTCACGCTAGGCCAGGCAGAAATAATCACATGGCCAAATGTAACGTTAAGCTTTGGTGGACTTGGGGTTTTATTTTCAGTTTTAAGGAATTACAGATATTATAGCATACAACAGTCACACTTGTGATTAGGAATGCCTGGAGGTACAGCTGTAAACAAGGCTATCCCTACTCATTCAAAGGTGTGAGGTACAAATACTAACCATGACATGGCTCCTCCCTCAGTCCTGTGACATCAGGAACAATGGCAGGCACACTAGCTCAAACTGATGTGATTGACTGTGCTCCCAAACAGATCTAAAGATTGAATATTTTCTAATATCAATCTGTAACAATCTAGATCTGGGTAAAATCTGATTGATTTTGGAAAAAGCTTGATTTTTTTTTTTCCTGAAGGAAGGGTGTGATAGGGTCCTAATACATCATTTTGGTTGCTGTAGCAGAAAAAGGATGGAGCGTCTCCTATGAAATGGCTAACAAAAATCCCTGTAAGAGTCAGACTCTGATGGCTTATTCCATAATTAGCACCAGTGCCTTGGCTCATTACGGGGTGCTCTTCACTGAAATTATACTAGGGAGCAAAACAATTTGTAAAGAATACTGCCAAATTTCAACCCTCTGTGAACAATCTTCATTCTCTTATTCAGTTACTGGGGCTTCCCTTTGCTGAGATAACCATTAGGTCATGTTTATGTTGGTTGCTTTTTTGATATTTTTTATATCTAAGTTTACATTCCCAAGCACTATGTATCAATTTGTCTAATTTTACAAAGTACCCATATTATCACGACTTTTCCTTCTTTTTAATATTACTTTTGAAATAAGCAATTCTTATCTCTGAATTTACATTATATTTGCCATAATGGCTTTCTGTATTGATTACAATTTTGTCTTTTCAAAATAACCCCACTATGCCCATGAAACAAGGTGCTAAGTATGAAAACTAAGCTTGCCACCTCCTCCATAGTGTACATGTGAAAAGAAAAAAATTCTTATTTGATAAAGGAAATAATCCTGAACTCTAATATTTTACTTCTCAAAAAGCCAAGAAAACAAATGTTTAATGTATACATTTGAAGAAAATTACTTTATAATTTATGTATATTTAGTCAATTTAATAGAAATTTAAAATATGAAAATATTAGAATTATAAAGAATAGGTTGTTTGTATAAACTATTTTGATTGTATCTTGTAGCCCCAAGTAATGATACAATATTTAACATTAGAATATTATGCTACCCAGCCTTATGTCAATTTGACATGAGCTGGAGTCATCTTATTTTCAGGGTAGTTGCAGATTTTACTAGATTATGGCAGTTTTTTTTAATGCGTTTTTTCCAAAATAATTTTCAAAATAGAGTAGAATGTATTAATATTAGCTAAAACAGAGATGTCTAACTGCTAGTTAAAAATAGTTATTTCGACAGGTGATGGTGGTACACGCCTTTAATCCCAATATCCGGGAGGGAGAGGCAGGCACTGCTCTGCAAGTTCTATAATAGCTATTTCTCCTAATGGTCATGGAATAACATTATAAAATGTGATACACACAAGGAAAACTACTGTGAATTTTTTAACAGCAAGATCAAATGTGATTATATATAATGCCTACATTGCATATATCGACATAGAATGAAATATAACTTGATTACACTAGCAGAATGACCTTTCTGTACAGTCTCTTGTGGCTCAATGCAACTGTTTTCAGTGCATGTCTATAAGGAGGGAAAGACTACTGTGTGCTGCTGTGACTGGAACATCTCTGTTAGTCACATGAGAAGACTGCTCACTCAGTACCTTCCTGCTTTATCCACTCTGCTCTATTGAACAGTGATAGAACAAGTTTAAACAGATTTATTAATGTCAAGTCCCAGCATGGAATGCACAAATCACAAAAATGAACTTGCTAGGATCTAATACAATTGCTCATAGGTTAAGAGGAAGTAAATGTTCCTTAAATAATTATGAAATTGAAAAATACTAATAAAAATCTGTCTTTATGAAATATACCGACTACACTTTCATATACCAATCCTTCGGGTGGAGATCACACATTTAACTAAATACAATGCTTACTTACAGTCTGCGTAAGTTAATAGGTAAAGACTAAATGTAGCCAGTTCAGCTAATAAACTATATGACTTTTAATAAAGGAGCTGTCTTTATCTATAAATAGAAATTGTTGTGAATTAGGAAAAGAATAACTCCTAGACTGGATGTAGCCCAGGTGATAAAATGCTTGCCTGGTATATATGTGTACATGGGTCCAAAACCAAGTAGTACAAAAGGAGACAAACATACAACAAAACACTGTGATCATCATGAATGAACAGGCCACTGAGGTTTTTTCCCTGAAGATAAACACAATCCAATGTGTTGGTGGCTTGTATACTGCTCCTTGTCTTCTGGATACAAGTTCAGAAACTCGGCAGTTTCACAGTACTATTGATATTGCATAAAACTTACAATTGTCTCAAAACTATCTCTTCAGTAGTTAAACATAGAGAACAGTGGATAAAGAGTCTTATTTTCTAGCAATGTTTATGGGAAAATATGCTTCCATTGTTAGGCATTTCCTAATAACTTTTCAACTTTTACGAACAGTAATAGTCTATATCTCAAAAGACTGTTATTCCCCTAGAATTCAAACATAATGTCAATTCAGACACAGAGCTAAAATTAATTCACTGTGAGTGAAATGACTAATTTCCTGTGGATTCACATGACAGTGTCATACACTATGGTCCTGTACCTGTTCATTCTTCATATGTCATGATTTGTGGAGGAGAAAGAGTATATCTCCATGGAGGAGCAGAGAGGCAATAGTGTTGCAAGAGGGAGCAGCTCAAACCCACGTGGCAGAAAGGACTGAGCTAAGACTACAGAGGGCATATGGCAGCATAGCAGGGGCTTCTGAACCCCCCCCCACCCCCGCTGTTGTTTCTCACACTATTGCTCCCTAGAACTAGGCACAATGCCACATGCTCTCCTGTGTTACAGTTCATCTACTTTGAGTCCTCCTAGGAGTGTGGAAAGACACTCCATAGAAAAGGTTAATGTGTTGATGGTCTTCAGGGTTGTGTTTTCATGAATGTAAGTTGTTTTAGTGACAGCAAATATATTTTTCTAAATTGCTCTAAGAAGGGGTCCGTGGTATTTTTGAGAGAGCTGCATTTTACTACAATGGAGCTAAGTTTCATATTTATATTCAAGTTAATTTATTTGAAACTTTATTGTATGCTTTATTAATCATTGAAAAAGACAGGACCCGTGATATGTTGCCTTCCATAGTCAATATAACTGCCTTTATATTTTGGCTTGAGAAAATTCCTACATGTGGAATGACAAAAGCAGACAAGAGGCAATGTTTATAATCATGATTATTGTTTGTAACTTTCTAATGTACATACTTTTTTTGTTGTTGTTGCTTCGTTTTATCCCATTGTCACTCATCAGTTTGGTTTTACATTTTATTAGTGAGTGGGCAGAAAACTTTGGTTTCAAGTGAGTTCTGCCTTCCAGTGTAACTGTGGACACCTTAACTTTGTTAATCAATCTATTCCCTCTGATTGGGTAAAAATCTGTTCTGGCATCTTCAAACAATAAAAGGCAACTTACATTTGCTGACAGCTGAGATGTGAGGGTAGCAACTTTCTCCTGGGATGCAACGAGTTCTCTCCGTAGCTTGTGGATTTGCTGTGCAATTAAAAAGTCCAATAAACCAAATGATCCATTAAAATGAAGACTTCAGTACAAGAAAGCAAGCATAATAACCACAGGGAAATCAGTAACAAATCCTTTTAGAGAGGTGAACGCTTGCTACAGTGCAGCTTCCAAATGCTACTTATAAAGAAAAGAATGAATTCCTAACTTTAATGTTGGCCCCCAGATATGCTCATCAAACTATACTATTGGTTCTACTTTAAATCCTGCAGGATGGATGAAATAGTTTACTGTCTCTATGGTAAAAACTCAGGCATAAAATAATCTTTAAAAATTCATATAGACCATCTACATACTTTTCTTGATTTTTTTTATGTAAATGATATACTACACATTTTTTTGAAAATCTCACAGGTGTTTTTAATATGTTTTAGTTTTCTATCTTTTATAAGATTTAAAAAATGTATAGACTATTTTATAATATGCAAAAGCTGGATTTAAATATTTAATGAGTCTCTATCTGAGAAAATATTTTTTTCCTTCTGAGACAGGATATTGTCATGTAGGCCAGGTTGCCCTCAAACTTGAGATTCTCCTGCCTCAGGTTGTAGAGTATAGGAATTATGAGTATGAATCACTACATATAATATAAAGTAATTTTATGTGAGGGAACTTTAATAGTGAATAGATAAATTCTATCTAATGCTTCTTAGAATGTCTTTATCCATTGACCTATTATTAGCTTCACGCAGAAATGTTTTGCAGTTATCCAAAGTATAAAATGAGAGAGAAAATTATTAATATTGTGCAGTTCACTAAAGAAGCTAACAAAATAAACATTCTTAAATGGTTTTGTTTTTTACTGATTTTCACTTGAATAACACAGGCACATCAACATTATATCATATTTTGCATTTCAGTCAATCAGATATCATGCTACCAGGAAATGTAAACAGTGATTAAAATGGCAAAGCATTTACAAGCATATGAAAATTGCTTCTGCGAGTGTATTTCTGGTCTGAAGAGAATCTAGTCCTTCAGATGCCAACTATTCTACATAGATGCGTCTCTTAAAAAAACAAGTCCCTAATTCTTGGAGCTGGACAACTTGAATGCTAAGTGTGAAAGGACATTTTGGACATAGGCCATTAAATGTCTTTCCCTTTCCACACAACACATTTTTTATTTTGGAAAAGAAATAGTAATCAATATTGAGAGGAGTGAACAAAAGGAGTGATATTTATCTCAATTCAGAAATAGAAAGCAATTTTACAAGCTTTCTCCATTCTGCCAGCAGAGGAAGGTAAATATCAATATTATCCAGCTACAAAACTGTGTCTGAAATATATACTGATGTAAAAGTGGTATAAATATTTTGGAGCAACCAACCACTTTTTTTTTTTAAATCTTAGGCCCATTCCATGCGAAGGAAGCCATGCCTGACACTGACAAAGTGGCCAGGAAGCCAGGACTAGGTAGACCATGGGCCAAGAGTAAACATTAGTACTATTATTCTGCAAAAGGATCAAAGCAATAAAATGGCCCCTAATGACACATTGCTATCCTCATACATGAGCTCCTCACATAACCCTCATAAGAGAAGCTTTTTCTTGTTGTATATGGGAATTAACATAATGATCCACAACTGGACCATGTGTAGAGTATGAGAGACTTTCAATAATCAGTCCTAAATAGTTGTCTTCAGCAAGCCCCTCCTCTTAAGGCTCAAGGATCTAAGTAGAAGAGGAGGCAGAAATATTGTAAGAGCCAGAGATGATGGATGACTCTAAGAAGACTGTGTCTTCCAGACTCAACAGGATTGATACACATATGAACTCATAGAGACTACAGCAGCACAGAGCCTGCACTGGTTCAAACCAGACAGGATCCCAGCACTGAGAAAGGAGGTCGACACAGGGTCCTACCCCTATATAGTTTCACTAAGTATGATGTTACTGCTATTTCTGTTTTTAAAATGGAGATCTACCTCAGTCCCAATGAACGTTTGTGCTACTTTCATATAATGATACATTCAATTCTAGAAAGCAAAGCCTCTTTTATGTTTCAGACAAATACAACTGAAAGAGGCTTTCTAAACTTATACCTTTATTATATAATTCTAGTTCTTGTAGAACATAATGCAGAAAACTATAAGACAATTTGTGGTCCCCTTTTCAAAGCTCTTGACCTCCTATGAGTATAAATGACAAAAGGAGAACTGGGATAGCTACTGAGGCAAGCAGACATGACTGCAGTTTTAAACCTCAGTAGCTGTTGCACAACCAACACAAGTCTTGCCTTGTCTGCATGATGCCAGAAAGACAATTTCAGTTAAAAAATGTATGTATATGCAGCAGCAATACTCTCTCAGTAGTTCTGAAGATATTTTGGAATAAATTTTAAGTCTAAACATTTATGAAATGAGTTCACTGGGAATGACTTTCTCTGTAAGGACATTTTCAAGGCATTTATTTTATCTGCAACAGGGTAAACCTGTAAGAGAGTTGTTACTACTCTCCGAATAAAGTGTAAGATTTAAACTTTATGTTTGTGTGCATGCCCATGTATGCACATATGAATTTGAATTCAGGTTCCCTTGGAAGTCAGAAGAGTCACAGCCCTGAGAGCTGAAGCTACAGATGCTTGTGAGTCTCTAGACCTGGGTGCTTAGGTCTTCTGCAAGTGCAGTACATACTTTTAAGTGTTGAATCATCTCATCAGCCTCCATGAATAAAATCTTAATTCCCCCTGTAGAAAGGCTACAAACTTTTTTCCCCCAAAGGTAAACAAAAATTTCCTTTAGAAGCAGAAGTTTGGTTTGTACGCAATTGTAAACAAACATGTATTTGTGAAATGTATCCCCTATACAGAAAAGAGTAATTCTAGAGGCAGCAGAGTCATGCCATAAATAGGTAGGCATGTGTGGTCCCTGTGTGGAGAAGGCCCCATGCTGCAGACTCTATAGTTTCATTAATCCTAAACAGAGTGTCTCAGGCAGTGAAATGGATGTGTGGCTCTCCTACTTTAAAGATCAATTCACTAATGAGTGAATTCACTAATGAGTGAATGAGTGCCAGCTACTATTGATAACATATTAGGTGTTAAGACTCAGGCAGCATATGAGAGGACAGCTGGCTGCTAGAACTTTCTTTCATTCTCCCTAACAGACAACATCTAAGATCGAAGATTAACTTCTTCTAGGAGTCCTACAGTTATGTTAGTGTATCAAGCACCCTCTAGTGGCAATAAAACTGATTTTATTGGCTGGCTTCAAATATTACCATGGTACAGGATTTTACCTCCGAATGAGCCTTTTCTTCAGCCTGTAAAAAGAACAAAAAAACAAACAGATTTTAATTATAAAACAAAGGACAACTTATTATATAGGTATAAATGAATAAAATATTTTAACATGTATTTACAACTTTTATAATCTAAGAGTAACAAGAGTATACAAGACTAGCTAATATAATAAAATAGTATACTATAGGAATAAAATGGATAGTTATATATGACACAAGTATTTAAAACTACAGATAATAGATATATAGAGACCATAAAATGTCATTATAGCCTTATGCTCTAAATATATGGATGCATAGGAAAATGAGGTGTTGTTTATATATGTATCAGACTCCATGAAATTATATAAGTCTTTAGCTAAGACTTAGAAGAACTTTATCTTCTGGTTTATATATCAAGAAAATGACAAATGGAGTCAAAGAAGAAACACTAGCCACTATTGTTAATAGTAGATAGTAGAGGTCACTAACTCCTATTTGCTTTATTTTCCTTAATGGTTATTAAGTTCATTGATAGGCACATCAGCTAAATAACAAAACACTTTGTTTTGAAGTGGTCATAAAAGAGACAACCAAATAACTTCGGCTGTGTGGCTTATGGAAATAAATAGTGCTGTACAGAATGGCAGGGTTTTTTATACTTCTATACAGAAAACTTCCAGGTCTATTTCCATCTTCATGCTGCGCTATGAAACACCAGCAAATGAGTTATGTGCACCATTACATTTGGGAACCTGATGCAATCTGGAAGAACTGGAGAGTGTGTAATGTTGCTGAACAAAATAACTCCTGCCTGTTGCCACTTGCTGAAAAAAGCTGCAAAGCATCTTGTCACCTGTGGTTTCTTTGGAGACATTTTGTGATTAATTGATACAAAAATGCCTGAGTTGGTTTTGGTCTGTTTTCTTGAAGAAAGAAAACACACACACACACACACACACACACACACACACACACACACACACACATGCAAGCACACACATACACACACATGAACACACATACACACAAGGACATACATACAAAATGTAAATAAAACAACTTCCTAGGTATATTTTATTGAAAAGCATTTCTTTTAAACTGAATTTCATGTTTTTTTTTTAAATCTGCCTTTGAAAAGTATCAGGATATAGGTTAAGATATTTGCAATGTGCTAACTATGAAGGCTTTAATTGTCTTCATAAGAAAGTTTCTATTTAAAAGCAATGTTAACATTTACCTTTGTCAGTTTTAAAAACCCCTTCTTAGTATTTAAGATTTTTATTTTTTACATTCTAGTAATTTCAAGATATTATATGGGGTTTGGTGTTCAGATCTGCAGTACAAGCAAAGAATATTAAACCAGTAACTTGATTAAACTTTATTCATGATTTTCTTTGTTTGCTACATAATTCGTTTTACATTTATTACCAGTTTATTCTGGTCACATTCTGTCTTTAGGGTTATTTAGATTATATTAAATTATAAAGACTCAATAAATAATAGATGCGCTTTTAAAAAGAGATCTATTTTCTTTAGATGAAACAAAATATGATCATCACATCATCACATTTTCATTAAAATAACCCCAAGTTACAGGTGTTAGTTCCATCATAAATGTTGAGTGGCATGCATTTTCTCATGGCTGAGTTTTCAAGACTATTGTTTTCTTTAATCTTTGCCTTCTTTCACAGTCCATGGTTATTTTCACCAGTAGTACCTATTACCATAAAAATGGAGCAATGAGACAATTAAAATATTCTATCTCCCCCAGTGACTTAGACCTGGGATTAATGGTGTTATAGTGGAGTTTGATTACATACATGATATTTTTAGTGAATTTGTTGAAGCAAGACTAACATACTGAAGGATAGTCAACAATATAAAATATCCTGCCTAAGTAAAAATACCAATTGATTTCTGTAGTTCTTAAGCCAGTTAAGTTCATTATTAACAATCATGTCTTAGCACTGTCTTTATGTTAAGGAATTTTTGAAGGACATGCACAAGCATGAAGCATGAGCCTTCTTCCCATGAAATCAGTGGGAACTAGAATATTAAAAAAGAATGGAATCGGTAAAAATTTCATATTTTACCAATGAAAAAAATCTACTGCAGTAAAAGCTTAACAATATCTTACCTATAAAAATTAAAATAACCTAGGTATTAAAAATTGGTAATCACATAGCTCTCTAGGTTACCCCTTGTTTTGTAATTTTAGCAGATATAAGTATTAAGAAATACAATGACAACCAGCAACCCAAACAACTTCAGTGTAAGGGAGAAAAGAGGAGGTGGCAGAGGCTGTGGCTTGTCTAAAAGCCTATGTTGTGACTTAAAGGGGTCTGCAAATGAGGAAATATTCATTTAGTATCACTGGATACTTCTATTTTTATTGTTATTATTGAGATGGGGTCTCTCTAAGCAGCCCTAGCTGTCCTGGAACTCACTCTAGATCAGGCTGGCCTCAAACTCACAGAGCTCTGCCTGCCTCTGCCTCCCAAGTGCTGAAACTAAAGGCATGCATCACCATACCTGACCTTAATAAAACAAAAACAGAATTCAGAAATTTAAATTTTTATACAAAAGCCCCAGAGTAGGTGTGGATCTTAATTACATAGAATCCAAGCTTCTAGAGGTGCCTCCTTGGGTGATGACAGCAACAAGCTTGTGACTTCCAGATTCCAAAGACCCCATTGGTTCGGAAGTCAGTTCTTAGAGGAACAGTCCATAACATTTGCCAACTTGCCTGACATATATAGTCATTTCTAACTGAATCAGGTAACTGTGCAAATCTATTCAGTCTTCCCCTAGCATCCATAGGAAGGTGTAAATGTTGTTTATAAATTGCTGTTGCAGTTCATAGTGTGAAAAGAATATCCATGAGTAGTTCTGCCATAGAGGTTAGAAGAAGATGTCAAATTCCCTGTAATTGGAATAACAGATGGTTTCAAACCACCATGATGGTACTGGGAATTTGACCCATGTCTTCTGCAGGAGTCTCTGTGTTCTAAAGTACTGTGTCATCTCTCCAGGCTCCATAATATTTCTCATGTATGTCTTCTTATTGTCATAGTTTACCTTCCCATATTATTCTATAATTTGAAACCCTTTATTGCTGAACTATTGGATACTGATAGATTCTGGAGGAAAATTCTCTTTAATGTGTATATACTACTAAGCCCACTAGGCTTCATCTGATATCTCCCAACCCATGGTCATATAGATTTCCATGGTTAAGCTCAGTGCATCACAAACCAAAATAAACAGACATAAATGTGAAAGAAAGAATGGTGAGGAAGAAGGCTTATGGGCAGAAGAGAGAAATGAAAGAATAAAGAGATAGGACAGAATATATGTGTGAATAAATTTGATAAATCAAATGAAATAGTTTAAAAATCTGTCCCCTTCTTTTTATTTTAATTAGCATATCCAACTGTGCATATCAAGGAGGTTCAGTATTATGTAGTGGGTGCTGGAACAATGCAATCTTCTTTTATTGTGCTAATTCACAGAATTTTAAACACAAACCTTGCACTATCTAATTGAGCACCTACTAAGCAAGTTGTTTATTCAAATGGAGATTGTGATGAGACAATCAGTCTGTAGATGTACTGCAAATAAGCAACAGTAACTCAGAATCCACAGTCATGGTATTAAAAACTGTAGATAGAGAAGATGGTTACTATTTTAGCAAAATCTGTTAGATTCTAGTATAGAGAGATTAAACATCTGTTTTTTCTCCCCCTGAAACCCATGATCTGTATGCTCTTAAATCATAATGGAAGTTTTGCTCAAATATTATTATTGTGACTATTTAGAATGTGATCATTAAAACTAATGTATATTAAAGAACAAAACCATGATTATAAAGATGCTCCAGCTTTTCTTCTTTTAGAGTAATCTGTAGTTCAGTAGTATATATCAGATACATCTCAAGGAGCAGCAGTTGGTCACAATAGGAGGAAAACCAAATCTTAACATATCTCTATTAGATATTCTTTAAAGTTATCTTTACACTCCCTACTGTTTATCCATTAGCCTAAAACAGTCCATTTACCTAAACACTAACACTGATACCTTCATCAGAGAATGTACTGGCCATTTTTACCATTACAGGAGAAGCAGGAAAAAATAGCATGTCTCTAATGACAGCCTGATCTTGGATGTCATATATAAAGCAGGAAATAAGAAAGGTTAGCTTATAAGCAGAGACTGTGTTATTTCAGCCTACACATTTATATGTGTGTACACATGTAATGGTAATAATGAAGAAAAACAATCAAGAGTAATACACAAAAGTAGAAGGAGGGCTTGGAGGTAGAGGGAAGGGAGCAATGAGGGTGAGGTGAAGGGTATGGGGGAGGGGATTTAAGATGGTTGAATTATATTGTATATATGTATAAAATCTCATAATGAAACCCGTTATTTGTACAATTAATACATGCAAATACAATGGGTGTGTGTGAAAATAATCAGTCTTGTCCTTAAAGCTTGACTGCTGAGTGAAAGCCAAAGCTTTTCATGCCCTCTCAACACAAAAGTAAAGATTAGAACTTAAATCTGCATAAGACTCGTTATCTGCTTTTAACACCTCACTGAAGGAAGCCTCCCTATCATGTCATTTGCTGATGAAGGAACTACCTTCGAGGACAAAAATTCTCACTTTTCTGCAAAAATTTATCATAGTATCTCACACTGGGAGAAGCTGAAACACTGGCATTCATCTCCTGAGGGGGGGAGGGATTACAAGTAAACTCTTTTCAGAAGATATGTCTATTAGTTTTTCTAGAGGAAATAAACCTAAAATTCAAAAACCACACATCTGGTTCTTCAAAGTGCTTTTGGCACAATCTTTTTCAAAATTAAAGTTAAAATAACAACTGGTGCTATAAAACAATTATTAGCCATAGATGAGAGAGGACGTCAAGAAGCATCCTGGACAGAGGGTTTAAGGGCTCTCTCTCACTCCAGCATGAGTTATAACATGGTTTTACACTCATTCACTGCTCACAATGAATGCACCCAAGTCAAGTGAAAGACCTGTAAGCAGACAGAAGGGCCATATTTGACTAGTCAATTGCTATACACATATCAGTTTATTTGGTCATCTGGGCACAGCAGAGAAAACAAAACAAAACAAAAAACAGACCATACTTACCGTAGAGTAAAGAGAAGATGTGCTAGAGACCAATGACAGTGAAGAGCCATGAACTGGAAAAAACAAGAACATTGTCAAAATAATGAAGTTAACCTGTAAGGCCACTGAAAACATAAAGAACAGGTGGCTAGAGATAGAAAATAACTACAGAAAATGAGTCGGTTATGAAAATAGTTACTGGAAAAATTCTTAGAGCGCCCACTGTTTATTGTGCTGAGGACTAATTTACATGCTAGCAGTTAAGTTACAGAGACAAGTAGTGGGCTCGAGGCCCATAGCATGCACATACTGGAAACTGCAGAAAGTTCCCATCCACAATGAACAGAAACCTAAAAACTTCTAAATGGCTTTTCATAATGTGTTTACTGAATTTCACTCTCCTAACATCAATACCCAGGTTTGGAAGTTTTCTCTACACATTTTCAAGGAAATAAGTACTTGATCCAATTCGGTATTTCATTATTGTGATGAATTGATTGTGCCATTTGAAACAGGGGAATCAATTATTTATAAATTTTAGTAATATAAAAAACGTTTCCACTTCAAGATAAAGATGAAGATGGAAATTTCATTCGGACTCATTGGATACACATCAAATACAATGTCACAACAATTGAAGATGTGCCATTACTTCTCTACTTACAATGTATTAAACTGAAAAGGTGGATAAAATTATGCTTCATTATATTCATAGGTAAGTTTTCCCTTTTTCTATGTGGAAAAATGTTGTTGTTGCTTTTAATTCATCCCTTAAATAAATGAACATTATCTGAACACATACAATGTCTGAAACCGTTACAAGATCCTGGAATTATACGAAAATGAGATGAAACCCTGCACGTTCAAAAAGTAGCAAAAAGGAACAACAGAAATGACAACTACAACAGAGCAATCCACAGTCTATTGAGGTCAATTGGGTAGTTCAAGGGCAGAGGGCAACAGCCATAACCTGGTTTGCAGAGGGCTGTGGAACGTGCTCAGCATAGTGCCAACACAGAAGACTGCAAGAAGATAAGTTTGAGAGAGAGCAATAAGAGGAAATCTTTTCATTTTTATTTGAGAGAGAGAGATAAGAGGAAATCTTTTCATTTTTTCTTTTGGTGTGTGTGTGTGTGTGTGTGTGTGTGTGTGTGTGTGTGTGTGTGTGTGTTATGTGGTCTGTATGTATAAAATCAGTGCCTGCTCAAGAATGTATGCTAGTGACCAGTGTAGGATGGCAGGTGGCTTCCTCTGTTACTCTTCTCCTCATGCCATCAGAAGGGTCCCCTGCTGAAGTGAAGCTTGCCTTTTTTGGCTAGGCATCTTGCTCAGGGAGCTGTGGAAATCTTCCTGTCTCTGTCTCCCAGTCCTAAGCTTACATGGATGTGCAACAGTTGGCTTTTACATGGGTATTGGGGTTCAAATTAGGCCTCCTTGCTTGCAAAGTCAGCATTCTTACCCTCTGGTCCAACTCCTCAGTGACTTTAAAAGTGATTATTAGTATATAGACATTTGTGAAAAGGGGACTGAAAAGTAACCTCTAGGGTTTGGGGTAACACTGCTACTTCATCAAATGTGCAAAGGATCACTCTTTGAGTCAATCATCTGCTGAAAAGCCCTATTCTTTCAATGTCTACATAGCTCTTTAGTGATGTTGAAAAAAATGACATGAGTTAGCCTGGAGTACCAGAAGGAAGACAGACAATAGCCAGAAGAGAGAAGAGGATTCTCATCTTCTTCTTGTCTCTCATTTTTTGTAGGTGTATTACTTCATAGCTTGTGGCTTAGTCTTCTAATTTGTCATTGTGAGCATTGAGCAAGAATCCAATCTAGTTCAAGGCTGCATTCACTCTAGATCACAATTTAAGCAGCACCTAACGGCTTAGCATTCAATGCAGGGCATGAAAGAGTTCCTTTTGCCTACTCAGGTTATCTTTCAGCAATTCATATTATTTAAATTTCATGTACTGGATGTCAAATTTCCCAGCAATGAAAATCATTCTACTTGTAAATGAGGCACTTGAGAAAGCCATCCATATGTTTTGCAGTGTATAAAAAGTATAAGAGGCTTCTGTGCAACAGCATGACATGATCACTTTAAAAAGGCAAGGGCCTAACATGTCAGATTAGCTATAGTTTTTGAACTATGCTGTGGCATCAGCTGGCCATCATCTGTCACAGGCAGCTCCGTGGTTTGCTTGTTATCCCCCAAAGCAGTAGCAAAGGTGGGCAACTGAGTTAGTGCTCGCAAATTAAATATACAGTAGTGAACTGAAGTCATAAGATACACTATATAAGATACAACCGAGAAAGAAGAAAGAGCTACATTTTATGTCCATGTCATCCACACAAGAAATCTACAAAGTGAATGGAATGGAAACCAGAACTCACAATACTAGGAAACTTCCCTGAGTTCAGCCTATAAATAACTCTGCTGTGTTTCAAGTTTAGGGTTTTTTTGTTATACATATTTATTAAATGGTAGCTTTTCTGTTTGATTTTGCTCTAATCACTTGAATTTCTATGTTTAGCTTGGTTTTATCCTTAGCTGACATGCTTTATGATGTGCATACCATATGCTTTCTTCATGGGTAATTAAAATGTTTCATTAAATTAAAGGAAAATTTCTTAAATTAGAATTGAATTTTATATAAAGTATGTAGACTTGAGAAAATATGTACACTTGAGCATGATTTTAGCTTCCTGAGATTTTAGCATGGGTTTCTTTAGAGCATTCACATGCAACTGTACAATAAAAAGATATTTACTGGGACAGGTATGAATTTTATTACATTGGATAAAAATATGACCTCTATTGGAAAATATAGGTAGAATATAAATTCTAAAATGCTACAATAGCTAATAGCACATAGAGCTGAGAACAAAAGTTAGCAAAATAAGATATCTTCAAAAGGTAATCCTCTTACGGCTTATATATCTTTATAGCTCTTTAATAAAGGTTTGAATAAAACATCTGTTTTAATATGTGACATATATATTAAGATCTCTAAAGCTCTGTGTCTATTGGTAGGAGAACATTGGATTTATCCAAACCATAGCCAAGCACCAATTTTTAAAAGAAACTGGTGCACTTCATGATATATAAAGAAACAATAAAGTATCTTCAAGCTTCAGCAAACCCAAAATAAGAATTACACCTGCTGAATCATTTCCTCCTCCAGGATCCTTATGCTGTGAATAATGAAGTGAGCTTACTTTCAGAATTACAAGAAGTAACCGTATTCTTAACCTCTCCCATTCCCATCCTCATTACCTTCCTCCATGCTGTCTCTGAATGAGCCTGAATGGCTGATAGCACGTGGCCTTTCTTCCAGAGAAGTGGCACTACCACAGAGCTGGGCGTCATCATACAGGTCAAAGGAGGAGTCTTGGGCGGGAATGCTGTTGGAGCGCATCATACTGGGCCCAGGAAGGTTAAATTGTGAAAGGTTTGTGGGACTCACTGGAAAAGAAGGAGCAGAGGCTTAGGGACTTGGACACGGAAGGTAACTGGTTAAAACAAAGTAAACACAATGCTAATTCTTATTAAAAAAAAACATGTATGTTAGGATGATGGAGGATGTATATATGTTTCTTTTATTGGTTGGTGAACAAATTCTGATTGGCCAGTAGCCAGGCAGGAAGTATAGGTGGGGCTACCAGACTAAGAATGCTGGGAAGAAGAGATGCAGGGGAACAGTCACCAAAGGGAGACACCATGCAGCTGCCGAAGAAACAAATGGTCTGGGGATCACCAGGTAAGCCAAGAGCTTGTGGAGATACACAGATGAATAGAAATGGGTTAATATTAAAAGAAGCTAGCCAAGAAGAAGCTTGAGTCATCAGCTAAACAGTTTATGATTAATATAAGCCTCTGTGTGTTTATTTGGGATTGAAGGAAGGCTAGACCAGGCAGGACAGAGACCTCCCTCTACATCAGTAACTCTCAGTTTTAGGGAGGTGGAGATTTCATCTGAGAAACATCAGTGATGGAGACCACGAGTTCTTTCTTCCAAGTGTTCTCATGGCAATATTCTAATTTCTATTAATGCCAATTTCTAAAGCAACAGAAATCATCACCAACAAGTTGCCTTGGCTGTTTGTGTTAGAGGTAAACTGACATGATATTTTCTGGTAAATGAAAAAGAAAACATCTTCTCTGCCAAGGCAATAGGCCTCTTTTCTAGAGAATAATCATATTGTATTAGGAAAAGCATAATGGAAAAGAAAGTAAAATATAAAAAGAAAAATCTAATCTCTATAAGAGGAGCTCTGTAGGTTTCCCCAGGTGAAAAGTTTAAGTCGTTTGGGCTATAATGATGTGAGTTTATTAGAGCAAGATCGATCGTAAAGAAGAATAAAAGGCATTTTCTTTAAATAAAGTACATATAGTGACTAGTCTTTTAGAAAGAGAATCGTAAAAAAGCCATTTTCTGCTGAGTCCAAGATGGAAATCTCAGAATGAGATTGTCAAGACAAACATATTTCAAAAAAGAATCTCAAGTGCACAATCTCAAATAAGATTCTGTCAGTTGTCTATTGCCTTATATCTCATAGTATCCCACAGCTTAGACCAAGTGATAATCATCAACATAAAAAAGATATGGTTGACTAAGTAAACAATTGCATTGGAAAACATCCCACATTTGGAAACTTGGTATAGGATTGAGGAAGAGAAATCAATAAACAGCCATCATGAGTTTCTTGTATTGAAATTCTTCACATTTAAGAAAAGTGAATTTGTTACTGTTATTTAAGGAACAAGTCAGAGCCTACTAAAGAAATTGCTATCGTTATAAAGGAAAACTTTATGTTAGAACATTGGAAAATCATATCAGCAATGCTGACTTTAATTGGTTTGAGTTTTTAAACTTACTCTATTTTTTTTGACACATGACACACCTTAATATAATTACTTGTTTTCATGGTAAAGTTACATCGCAAGCTAGACCCTAAAATAAACCAAAATGTGTATCTACTGATTACAAGGAACTGTGCTTGCTATTTCACAATGCTAACTGAAAAATGAGACAGAACAACTCTCTGATAGTTATGCATTGCAATTAAATGAAATGCAGACAAGGAATCAAATGTAGAAATATAATGAAAAAAGAATAAGCTATAAATTTGTAAAGTATATAACTAACTGGAAGAAAGAAGGAAATAAGCTAGGTGGTGGGGGCGCATGCCTTTAATCCCAGCACTTAGGAAGCAGAGCAGGCAGATCTCTGTGAGTTTGAGACCAGCCTGTTATATAGGAGCTAGTTTAAGGACAGCCTCCAAAGCCACTGAGAAACCCCGTCTCAAAAACAACAACAACAACAACTGAAAACAAAACAAAACAAAACACATTTTGGGGGCTGGAGAGATGGATCAGAGGTTAAGAGCACATGCAGCTATTTCAGAGGTCATGAGTTCAATTCCCAGCAACCACATAATGGCTCACAATCATCTATAATGAGATCTGGTGCTCTCCTCTGGTGTACAGGCAAGACATGCAGGTAGAACACTGTATACATAATAAATAAATAAAATTTTTAAAAAAGGAAAGAAGGAAATAAATGATAAAAAAGAGAGAAACAGAGACAGAGAGAGACAGAGAAGTGAGATCAAGAGACTGAGGGAAAGACAGTGGGAGAGAGCGAGGAAGAGAGGGAGGTATTTTTTCAGGTGTATTTCTCTAGCCCATAGACGTGGCTATTAGTTCTAGATCATCGTGGTTACTGATAAGAGTCATGAGATTAGCAATAGGACGTCCATAACTTGAATGCCTATGTTCAGGTACTAAGGTGAGTTACATTAACCTGTTCAGTATCTACAACATGAACTGACTCTTGTAAACATCATTTTCAACATATTTACATGTGCATCACTTTAATATTTATGCCCTCATTTAAAAGGACATCTGTTATCTGTTTGGTTACCAAAATAAACAAAGACACATCCACACAAATTTGCTTTGTATACTTTCAAATATAACATTTTACTCACTCTTGGTAAAATAATAATGAACTGTTGCAGAATATATGTTTGCATTTGTGAAGATGTGTCGCTTTGTTTTAGACAGGAGAGAATAGGCAGGATTTCTGGAAAGAGAGAGAACTCTGGAAAGAAGAAAGGTGGGGACATGCCAGCTGCTTTTACTTTTCACCTATTAAAAATGTGTAAATATATAAAAATGTTTAGAAATATTATTATAAAATTCAAATATAAGACACATTAAAATTTAAGATCTCTAAATTTTATTTCATTTTCAGTATGTTGCTACAATCACTGCTAAAGTGTGTTTTTTATGTAGTCTTTGCATGATAACTATAAATAGAAACAATAGATCTCTAAAATTCTACAGAAATGGTCTATTCTCTGTAGAAGCACAATTCTTCTCTTATGTTGTATTTTAACACTTTAAAAAACTACAGAATAAAGTATAATCTTAAATCATCAATTTTTAAACATCTATGACCATCGGTATAATGGCTCCAGCTAACACATTAATTTCAATTTTGCAAACTTCTAAATACATCTCTGTATAACTGCTTGACATTCTTGGTAGAGAAGGCTGTAATCCAAATGTCATAGTTGTTTTCTACATTTATATGATGACATTCACATTAAATATATATAGCCACCAGTTTGGAATTATATTGAATTAAATGCAGGTAAAACTAACTGTGGTTCTTTCATGGCATGAGATATGCATCCTAATAAAAATGTTTCATTTCAGAGTCTAAAATCTTCAGGCATTACATGTCTTCTCAATTAATATATCCATCATTCCTTGTATTGTGACCTAGTTATTATATATCTGTTCAGCTACATTTTAATGGCTTTGCCAAGGCCAGAACATAAAAATTAGGGAGGTGTTATGTTTCATCCAAGAATAATGGAGTAGAAAGATTTATTTAGAGTATCAAGTGTAGAAAAATCAGTATAAATATTCATCTAATCAAATTAATATAAATTAATAAAAACTTGATAGAACATAGGTATTTAGGAAATCTATAGTGTTTGAGGTGTTTAGGGTTTATATTTCAGATGTTACATTATACATGGTTAGACTTTATATCCTTAAAGCCCTACAAAAATACTTTCAATTTTTAAAAAATTTTCAGTGTTAAGAGTTTTTGCTGTTTTGTAATTATGCATCTAGTTAAAAAAAGAAGATATACATCTTTTGCAATTATGGGCCAAAGATTTATCCTTATGTGAAGCTACAACAGCAAAGCCTTGATGCTCATAACAGTTCAGTGGCTCATATAGAACTGTGGTAAAGATTACTGTCTATGTCTTAAAAGTCCTAGCAGTTATAGTGGGAAAAAATGAAATAGGAAAGATTTAGCCTCGAGTCCTTTAGGGTTGAAAGTTGAAAAGTTCAAATTGTTTGATTGCTAATGACCTGTGGTGACATTATCGGAACCATTTTTTTTTCTCAGCTGATAAAAGATAAAATAAGGAGACTACGTTCATACGTGACTTGACAGAAGATGAATCATTTCTACAGTATTTATTATTATTAATAATAATGTGTATGTATGTGTGTGTCTGTGTGTACCATAAGCACAAATGCCAGAGGAGGCTGGAAGCATGGCAGCCCTCTGGAGCTAGAGTTACAGGAGGTTTTAATCTGCCCTATATCTGTGCTCGGAACCACATTTGGATCCTTTTGGAAAAGCAGGACCAGCTCTTAACTGTCAAGCCACTTTTCCAGTCTAAGAAGTTAGGTTTTTCCATCACCATCGGGTCTTGTAGATGATAATCGACATGCTCAGGCATGTTTCATTGTTTTCTCCATCTTCTCTTGATTGTGATATTTACTTAAATGACTACACTTCCCACAAATGACACTAATGGCTAAGGCAGTCATTTCTTTTTCAATATAGTTCTCTAAAAGTGTTCACAGAATGTTGTCTTCGGTGACATATTATGCACACTAAGGGGTATTTTGATTTCAGTAATGTTTCAGGAAATTATCTTACAGCCATATAATTGCATAGTATTTTCAACCTAATTATTTCTATATTCTATTCATTTCCATAAAGACCATTAATTTTGTTCAGCAACAACATAAACTAAAATGTTTTACTGAATATAAATAAGGACATTGAGATGGAATGGAGGGGGTCGTGTGCTTGTGGTCAGGTGCTTCGTGATTTGTCCCTGCATCTGATAAAGTGGTCTGTTTTATATAGTTCAGCTTAGCTTACAAAACTGTAATATTTCTAGTTATAATAGTTATTACAATTAAGCATTTGTCATAAAATAAGTGATACAGTATTTGGAAATTATTCTGTGTACAATAAGCACAATACTGAGGTGCTCTCTCTCTTTCTCTCTCTCTCTCTCTCTTTCTCTCTCTCTCTCTCTCTCTCTCTGTGTGTGTGTGTGTGTGTGTGTGTTTGTGTCTTTCATTCTCTCTCCTTAATGAAAACACATCAATACTTGCACGAGAATAGGTTGTAAAAGGAGTGAAAGAATTGATTTAGAATATTTTACCCAAGTTGGAAAAGTGGTATTTTCCTGTGGCTGAAGATGACATGGCAGAAGGTGAGACCAGAGGCGACTGGTTGCCAGTATCCTGCAGCCCTCCAGTAGAATGGGATCGCAGCCACTCTTTGCCTTCTTCTTGGTTGGCCTGCCGAGATGATGGGGTGTATCTGCAAAACAGCACAGCTGAGACACTTCAGCACATCTACAAGGACAAGGCACTAGCAGGACAAGAAAACAATTGAGGGGAGCTTACTATTCAGACTGAACAGCAATCACAAACAGATTGGATCTAATTACAATTGCTCAGTTCCTCCAGATGATTTGGCACCATCTGCTTGATCCCCACAGGGAAAATAAATAGAGTCATGTGAGAAGAAAATGCTGCTTTTCTCAGATATGGACTTGAAAGTCAGAAGCCGTGAGCAGGCAGCCAAGTTAACTCAGAAGGACCCCAAAGCACAGTGTTTGGGAGGACACGGGGAAGGGAGAACACCGATTCAACATGGAGGACCGTGGTAGGCCAGAAGCTAAGGGAGGAACAGTGACAGTCACAGAACAGCATAGGAAACGGGACACAAACTGATAGTGAGAGTTGTCTTTCAGTTCTTTGGTTAAAATGCTACTTGCAGTCAGTTTATCAGGCTCATAGCACTGTACCTGTTAGCTGTTTTCTCTGCATCTTTGTCTCAGAAAAAAAACTATGTAAGATAGGTTCATGGCCATGAACCCAATTATCATTTTACTTTTATTTTAAATTGAACAACTATTTAGAAATTGCTAGGTGATGTTAGATTAATTCAGATTTGAACTTATCTGGTAAATAATATGAGCAGGCATGGAAAGCAGAAATTGGGACCGAGTTTTTATAAAACACAATCTGTAAAATAATTCCTTAATGGCCATAGCTGCCCTGTTATAACTTTTTTTTATTTACTCCATTTATAGCATACTTCAACTTTTCATTCTTACTTGTCGCAGGTGGAGACTATGTAGATTTGGGGATTGTTTTTCATCTTTTAAAAATATGTACATTTTTGTGGGCATCTGTACATGTATGAATGTCTACAGTATATGTATGTGGGTTGTGTGCACAAATGTATGTGGAAATCAGAGGAAGCAATCAGGCATCGGGCTCTATTGCCTTTTGCCTTACTCCTTTGACATTGGATCACTATAGTCTCACAAAACCTGAGCTAAGCTGTGAACCAGTGATTCTCCTGTCTCCACTCCTGCCAGTGATGGAGTTACAGTCCATGGGGCTATGCTCAGCTCATCGGGAGGGTGTTGGGGATTTGAAATCAAGTCCTCATGCTTGCTTGCAAAGCATTTATACCAACTGAGTCACCTTCCTGGTTTCAGTTTTGAGGTTTTGCAAACATATACTATCAAGAAGAAAAACTTGGAGAAGTAATTTTATCTTAATAAGAGAGAAAGACTTCTGCATCCTACCACTAGCTGCTCCCCACATGAGCAAAGCCTCAGAGAAGTTCCTTTTATTTCATAATCATGATATTCCTACTGGGATTCACTTGAGTCACCACCTCCATCCTCACTGGCATCTCTTCCTAAGGAGCATCACCTACACTTAAAGCCAGAGAAAGCATCAAGAGCCTTCATCTTCCATGCCAGATGCTACACAGCAAACAGATGGGAAGAAGACACAGCACAGAAAGTTTACATAACAACAGAAAGAGGCATCAGTTATGCTGAGAGAAATATATACCTTAGTCCCTTTTTGGGTAGTGTATTTCTGTCAAGCTGCATGCTGTTAAAACAAAGAAAACCCCTAAGGACACAATGCAAACAAAATTTCCAAATCATATACTCAACAAAATTCATTCCCCGAACTTCACAAAATAGCACTCTGCTAACACATATATGAATACTGAAGTGACCGGAAAAGCCAACTAAGGGACAGGGCTTTTGTTGCTGCAATAAATGTGGGATTTCTTTCTATCCTTGTGATATTAAAAATGATTAGAAAATGCATTAAATCATGTTAGCATAACTTCCCTGTGGATGCTGTGGTACCCTCTCTTTCCTGTGCAGTGGACTAGACTTTTGTTTTGACTTCATATGCAGGAGAATCATAGGGATGACAATGACACCTGCTGTTAAAGTGACAAGTCCCAATGACAAGATAGGTTGGATAACCATATAATAGTTGTATCTTGTCTAGTTATTTCTAATAAAAGTGAGGGTAAATTTGTTTTCTACTTATATAGAGAATTTAACATATAACATTTATTTCCTTTAAACAATGTTTCTAATATAATTTATTTACATATACTAAAGAAGTAAAACTATTCCATCTTTGAGAACTGATTGGGTATTAAATTGTTATATATTATATCACTGTCATTTTAACTAATTCTCAGTTTGTCACACATAGGACTAGAATCGTGTACCTAGATAAGTGGAAAATGACTCACTGGAAATGGAGAGGTTTGGGACACATCTAAGGTTCCATTCTAATCTATAGCATACAGATCGCCAAGGTGGAAAATGAATATGGACCTACAGAACTATTGCTGTCTTTGTTTAAAGCATCAAATGATCAAAATTAAACATATAGCATGTACACAATGGGGATGATAAAACACAAATGCAAAACAGACTGACTTAAATTGAATCACTCAAAATCAAAGCTAAAATGTTTTCTTCTACAGGTACTCCATCTGTTATATTATGCCAATGAGTAATTTGTTCTTGTCATGTATTAGGATTATAAAATTTCCTAACCAGTGTGAAATATCAAACCAAATGAATCATAAATAAATAAGAAACTAATTACAAACAAATAAGAGATCTCTAAATGCTAGCTATATTGGGCTATACATTTATGTGATCATATGCCATTATTTCTCTATGGCATTATTTCTTTATAATATTGCAAAAATGAGAAAATTGTTATTATTTTGCCAATGTTCTTAGCTTGTATAAAATTACATATTTATAAGTTACAGTGAAATAACCCAGCAAACAAATTTAAATTGAATAATATAGAACTTTTCCTAGACTCTAGAACAGTAGTTCTCAACCTGTGGGTTGAGACACATTTGGAAAACCTCTATCTCCAAAAATATTTACATTATGATTTATAACACTAGCAAAATTGTAGTTATGAAGTAGCAATGAAAACATGCTATGGTTGGGTTCACCACAACATGAGGAACTGTATTAAAGGGTCACAGCATTGGGAAAGTGGAGAACCACTGGTCTAGACATTCATGAAAATATTATGTTGGTTTTTCTGCAAAACTTCAAGAACTGACAACTCCAATGTCAGCAATGGCTAGAGAGGGAGAGAGAGTGAGTGAAGTGGAGATTCCAATCCATGCACTGTTTGTGTTAGGCCAACAGTCATAATGTGCAACACAGTTGCACAGTTGTCAAAATTTACATTTAATGACCAGAAATTTTCAAAGTTGTCTATGACTTTAGATTCCCTTAAAAAATGCTTTGGTCACAATAAAAAAAGAATAAAATGAAACAAGTGTGGGTTAGTTATAGTCACAGGACCACTAATGACTGGATCTGATATGCAGGGCAATATGGACAAATATTTCATTTGTATTCATTCATTTCCTTACTTTTTAATTTTAGTGAATAGCTTATGTAAAAATTGGAATTAATATGAACATCCACTAATTTATTAGTCCTAGGACATGAAGATCAAAGTGTAACAAGAGAAGTCAAAAACTTATGTATATCATAACATCTATCATACACATCTCAAATTAACTTTTTAAAAAACCACGTTTTGATATACTTTTATACTTTCAATCTAGTTATTAACTGACCAATATTGTCATGACATGCACATGAGATTTTCTTGAATAGTCTTATATATACTCTTAAGGGTTAAAATGAACTATTAGACTTTGCAGTTTCCTTCAGAAGGAAAAGTATAAACAATGTTTTAAATAAAAAAATTCAATCGAGCTATTTGCTGGAAGGAACTTATTATTTTCAGTCTTATATGTCATTCTTAATAAGATACTCACATTGACTTTACATGGCTGAATAGTCACTAATACATTTAAATGATATTTTAGAAAGTCTTTATTTGATTATTTTAACATGAGGTTAAAATTATCCTATTTCTAATATTGTGTTACTATTAAAATGATTTGATTTAAAACAGTATATAACTGTACCTTTATTGCTTTATTTTTATAGTAGATGTAGTGCTAAAATGTGGAATAAAGTATTAAAACTAGATTCCACTATAGCTATAAAACTTATTGATTTTAACATGCAGTTTTGATTGGGTGGTTTCTTGGTTACAATGATGCAATTGACCATGTTTCTTAGTATTTACTATTTGGAGGCTAAACAATTGGGTTGAAATCTCTATGAACAACTTTATGTTTTTTTTCATCTTTTTAATTTAAAGACTATCTGTATTCTTTATGGAGGATGGTTGCTACTAGCAATTTATATCCTACTTGTTTGATTTAGACATCAACTCATTTAAAACCCTTCATGTAAATTCTTATATAAATCTAGGAGATATCATTTAAATAAGACTGTTAGTTCATTTTAAATTTAACTATTTATTTGGCATAAGTTTTATACATGACATGTGATCATGCCCATTTACCTTATAGCTATGGAAACCAGAATCTGAGGTATGATTGAAAGTCTATTTTTTTGATGGACTGTTAACACAGTAGCAGTTCTTTTTATGTTGGATGTACTAACAAAACCTAAAGGGAAGTGGATACATTTGACAACCCTGTAGTTAGGGCTCGGTCTTTTTGTGAATGGGAAAACATACATTCTGACATTACTAGCCTATCACAATAAGCACTGAGCACCAATTGTTCCTTTAGGTCTCAGGTGTTTTAATGTAGTGGAAATGCCAATTGCATGACTGTCCAAGTACAGTGAGGTTATAGCACACCAAGAGGCAGTATTTCATTCTTGATTCTGTATTTCACATAGTCAAGAGAATCCAGAAGAAAATAGTTAGAAATAATAGATTAATGGACATTCTATCATTGTAGATTATGTCTTAGTAACTTATATTTTATATTGAGAATATATCACTCACTGCATGAATGCCTACTTTATATATTGTTCAAATCGCCTACTGTCTGGAATGGTAGGCATTTGTGTTAAGAAAATGATCCAATCACCCTACCTTTCATGACTTCATCCCTTGTCAAATTTGGTAACAAGAGTGAAGAATGAGACTGGTCTTATCAATATTAACTCTAAATTTAAGTTCATTTTTATGTCACTGCACAGTTGTACTCACAGTGGAATCAAGGAAATTTAGTAGGGTGGGGTCGTGCGCACAGTGCGGGAAGAAGGGGTTAAGGACTCATGAATGCCTCCGGTATGGCTCACCTTTCTGAGAGAGTAGATCTCACACTACCCGTTCTCGTGAGCAGGCTCTGCACCTCGTGAGTGCCTGTGGTCAGTCCAGACAGCGAGCCATGATGGCTGAGGGGCAGGTCAATTGACTCAGAGCTCGTATGGAGACTAGTCATGGACTGGTAACTCGGAGTGTCCTTGCTGCCGGCAGAGGAACTGCTCAGATTGGCAGCCCACACAAGACCACCCGATGTGAAAGAGTGAACCGATGCTGGGCTGGAAGCCAAGGAGTGACTTAAGCTTATAACATCTGTAGTTAGGTCTGAGGGCTTATTGAAGAGAGGGCTGCTGTTGCCGCTCAGCCCACCAGCACTGCCCATGCTGCCCGTACCAGACGACGGTGACTCCAGACTGCCTTGTCGCGCTAATGAGGTACTAGGGCTGGGCAATACTGAGGAGGATTTCACACCCTCAGTATTAGGTGCAGCGGCAGATTTGCCACCTGCCTTGGCACCAAACAACCTAAAAGAAAAACAAATAACAACTTCAGTTGTTCCAAGAGACTCATAGTCACATGCCATAGGGTTTCAGTCCACAGAGCCAAGCGTGCTTTGGAATAGTGAGCCACCAAGCACGTCCAGCCTCTATGTTCCTGAAGGTGATATGATCGGCCTTGGTATTAATCAACTACTAAAAAACTCTTATAATCTCTTAAGGGGAGATCAGCACTGGACTGCGACCAAGGTAGGCAGAAAGAGGGCAAAAGTCAAACATAATCATGTTTGACTTTTACACTTCTATCGACAAAGGACTCTAATGTATTTTTAGCCATTCTGGCATTGCCTATCTAGAAAACCATTATAATGAAACAACTTCTACGCATTCGGTATATGACGCTTAAATGAATTTTCCTCCTTTTAAAAATAGGTTACTCAAAAATCTAAGGGGGACAGTTAAGGCAAGGTAATGTCTAGGGGCCTGAGTGACTCAGCTGAAAATATTTTTTGCTTATTTTTGACAACTTATAGATTTGCTGAAATCCTCTCATGGAAAAACCACAGGGATTTCTGTCAGTTGCCGGAGCTATATATATATATCTCAGCGATTTGAAATATCATTGGTGCTAAGGTAGATACTGGAGTTCAGTTCAGAAAACATTTTAGTTTTGTAAATGAAACAGATGATATAATCAAATTTATGCAAATATGGAAATAAAATGATATGAAGTAATGGCAGAATGGTTACTAATTCAGCTGCAATGAAATCCATATTTCCCGCAGTGGAAGATCTCTAGGACGAATATGAGAAATTGTTTCATAGGTAATGGGCCACAGGGGGGCACTATTGGCTTTCACATAAGCAGTGAAATATATTTACTCTTGCTAAAGCTGTAACTCATTCTTTCCAAGAAGAATTCACACTTCAAAACATTCTTCACAATTAGTACTTGCAATAACTGTTATTTTTCAAACAGTTATGGTTCGAAGGTAACTTAAATGTGAGAGTAAATTTTTCTAGGCTCTTCCTAAGAGATCAAAATTCTAGGGTACACCACAGAATAAAAACAAACCTTAAATATTTAATAAGTAATAGGCGATAAATGATTACTCTATTAATTTGAAGATGAGAGAACAGAGGCAGAGATATTTAACAATTTGTCCTAAGTCATTCCTGATTTCCTCTATGCTACTTGGAGTGTCTAAAACCAGGGCTATTACTTGGCAGAACTTTACATATTTAATACAAAGATAATCATGGTGCATATATCATGCAGCTGGATTCTGTCAACAAACACTGACAAAGAGTTCCAGAAGTTACCCTCCTCGTGAATTCTTGTCCTGTGTCAGACATCTACATGTTTTAAAATTCTGACAATCACACCATACTTTGACATTTTGATTTGTTTCTGTTTTTACTATGTTAAGATACAGCCCTGTATTTATTGGTCCATTATAAACAGTTACAAAGAATATATGCTGTATATTCATAACCACCAACTCATTATGAGTCAGTGAGATGATGTACACTAGAAGTAAATGTAGTGTTTATCAAGGTCTATACAGTTTGATTTTTTTTAATTACAGAAAGGAGAGGTGAAAACTGCTGAATTATTTTATAAGCTATCACTTCATTTTATGACTACTTCTATGGATAGTTATTTGGCTTTAAGCCTTTTGCGCATTTCCAGCATCACACTGACAGTATACCTGAAAGGCTAACAATTTCTTTAAATGGGCATCACCTTTTTGCACTAGCAGTTCACAAATCAGCTCTGTAGAATTCACTGTATTTTGAACAAGTCTAGAACACAGATCTTTGAATACTCAGAATAAATTAAAATACCTTTATGTGGGATACATATGTGCTATATACTACCTTTTATGTTCTCCCAGCATTCCCTTACATACCCTTACCTTCGAAACGTAGGTGAGGCAATATCTGGATATTTGGACCCTGGCTGTCTGAGCCCTTGTGTACCACAGGCACTGGCAGAGGTGGGGCTGGATTTGGGGGAACCTGACAAAGAAACACTCTCTGAATCTGAGACTGCTACTTTCTCCTTCTCTTTGTCTGTTTGGTTGACAGTGACTGGACTCGAGCGTCCTGAGCCGATCTTAGTAGGTTCTCTCAGTTTGGAGGTGGTGGCCCCAGCTGACTTGCTGCTGACATTGGAATCAATGCTGCTAGTGCTGGATCTGTGGCCACCTCTCCCAGGGATACCACTGGTGCTGGACTTGGAAGGGCGAGGTAAGCTGCGGTACTGGAGGCTGGTCTTGGAGCTCACATGCAGGACAACATCATCTTGATTCTGAGACCCATCTAGGCTGGTTTTCCTTCCTGCATTTGACTTCCCACCAATGGCAGCCGATTTGGGGATCTTCCCCAGTGTAGCTGAGCCACTGGTTATGGTGGCACCACTGCTGGTAATCATAGTAGAGGATCCAACACCACTTGTCTTCTTATATCCAAAAGAATTGCTGGCTGATGATCTTCCAATGCCTGAGGGTGGCTTTTTCCCTTCATCCCCACTGCTTTTCCCTGCATCTGAAGGGGATCTCTGCAAGGATGATGATCCTTTCAGGGGTGTTTTCCCTTTCTCTGAAGCTTTGGCATCATCTGTCTTCCCTGAAAAACACACCAATGGGTTCTTTTGAATGTTTTGACATCATAATACCTCCAAGACCAAATGTAAAAATGTGAATGCTTTTTAGCTGTTTATATAACTTCAGTTCTGAAGTATTTCTTCTTTCAGATCTAAATAGGCACACTCCAATATAATGAGATGATTAAGAGTGTGCATAGCTAGAAAGAAAAAAAACCATGTCTGTCAGAGGAAATGTAATGAACCTGAGGAGATAAAATGAAAAGACTATTTTCTTATTTCTTAATGTTTTGTATCTTACAACACTCTTGCTTCAGAAGGGTGCTACTTATGCCTTTCAAGCCAAGTACAAGACCAGTGGTTCTCAACTTTCCTAATACCTCGACCCTGTAATACAGTTCCTCATGTTGTGGTGACGCAGAGGCAGGCAGATCTCTGTGAGTTTCAGGCCAGCCTGGTCTACAAGAATGAATTCCAGGACAGGATCTAAGGTTACACAGAGAAACCCTGTCTTGAAAAACAAAACAAAACAAACAAAAGTAGTGGCATTTGTAAAATCAATACTGAAAACATGGCATTTGTAAAATCAATACTGAGAATATTCATTAAAAAGTCAGGAAAAGTGAGGTATTATTTGTCCAGAAACAAGACTTTACTTGTACATAAAGTGACCACACTGTAATACAGCACATAACAACCCTACGTGACAAGTGTGATACCCACAGGATTCTCAGATTGTCATATTTATGTGGGCTTATATGAGCAAGTATGTGGATTACAGAACAAACCTGTTTAACTGTGTGCAGAAGAATCTGATTAATAAGAGAGATAAGCTGGGCGTTGGTAGAACACACCTTTAATCCCAGCACTCGGGAGGCAGGCGGATCTCTGTGAGTTCGAGGCCAGCCTGGTCTCCAGAGTGAGTGCCAGGATAGGCTCCAAAGCTACACAGAGAAACCCTGTCTCGAAAACCCAAAAATAAAATAAAATAAAGGGAGATAATACATGTGGAAACAGATGCACAATGGGACCATAGGTTAACATTCTTCTGTAGTGCAGATCCCAAGTGACAAACCTACCTGGGGTCTTGAGTGCACTCGCCCCGGTTTTCTGCCTAGCTGGTGTTCCTCCTTGGGCAGACATGCCTCTCCTCCAGGAACCAGTCTGAGACACAGACAGGCCTGCTTTCTGCCCTGTCTTCTCTGAGTCTTCAGCAAGTCCAGAACTAGCACCCTTCCACTTGGCACCTCCATCACCATGGCTGTCAAAATCCTCTTCAGTCTTCTTCAGCTCCTCTGGACTGTCCCAGGTCTCATCAGCTGTTGACCGTTTCTCTGCATCTGTTTTCAGCTATAAAGAAAAACTTTCCATGAAGAAAAACCCTATAAAGTATGAATCGGGTCCTGGAATGTATTTTCAGATAACTGGTAGGAAAAATAACGAAGCACTGATTTATCTTCAGCAGTATGCCAGAAACGATTCTATTTTTAACTATGGCTTCACTTAAGTTTCATCAATTTGAGCCATAGAATTTCCCTTTGCAGATATTAGAGAATGTCAGGATAAATAATGCTCAGAAAAGCCTAATTCAACTCCACAAAGGAAGGGCTTTTTCTACGACAAATGTGACAAGAAAGACAAAGACAAGGTGGGGACGTATTCAATGTTCTTTCTTGATTTACCATTCACAAGTGAGCCTAGTAATTTATTTTTGACATCATTATAAAACTAATCAAGAATAATCCCATGTTAGACTGTTTTTAAAGTTGGACCTTAAGTAAATCTGCATTAGTGGGGAAAAAACATCCGGGTGGGTCTTTCTGGGTTAGATCAGCAAATATATCTAAGTTAATTACAATCTTCAAAAGAGGCCAGGGACGGGCATTGCTATAGTTCTGGGGGCTGCAACTCTAGGGGTCCTAAAACAAAAACATTTCAGATTCCCAGTGTTGGTGATTCATTAGTATCTCTGAATATTCAGCTTATGCAAATGCTTCAGATTAAAGAATAAAATCACAGTTTAATAAAATACATTTTTTTAGGAACAAATTGATAGAAGAGGGAGGATAGCTCTCACCTGAGTGTTCTTCCTGGAGGGGACAGTGATATTGGAGTAAGAGCTGATAGAGGATGTGGTGTTCAGGTCATCTGTGCTGATATTATCAAGGGTATCACTGAGACCACTGCTCACTGAACTGCTGTCATCCCAGCTAAAGAGAAGAAAGACATGAAGCAGAAAAGAGCCCGTCACAGGACAAACATATAAATCACTGACATTTCCACACAGTGTTTTCATAAAGGCATTAAAAATATTTATGAGAACTTGTTCACTATCCATTTTGGGAACATCATATTTATAAGAACTGAATAGCTAGTAAATAATAGCCATCTCTGGTATTTAGGATGAACCAGAAGACGTGGATTATAGGTGAATATTAGAAGCATGAAAGCAAACATTGAAAGAAGAGTAACATGCCATCTGAGTGCCTTACACCGCACCCACAAAAGCAATCTGGAATCATAAAATATCTAAGAATTAATTATCTGTTCAAAAATGTTGGCTTGAGTCAGGCATCTGAAAACCATTCCTCATTTTCCTATCTTAAAATTACAATCATTCAATGGTGTTTAAATATTGAAATACATCCAGTAATCTTACCCATCACAATTCTAAAGAACATAAGAAAGTCTTGTATCTGATGTTCCTGCTTTTGGCATTTGCCACAAAACTTCAGCTTCAGCATCTCAGTGAATGATCAAAAAGTTACACTTGGAGCCTAGAGAGATGTCTCAGCTGCGAGGAGCATTTGCTGCTTTTGCAGAGGGCCCAGGCTTAGTTCCCAGTGCCCCCAAGATAGCTTACAGCATCTGTAACTCCAGTTCAAAGGAATCTGACACCCTCTTCCAGTCTCTGTGGGAACCAGGTACACATGTGGAACACATACATTCATGAAGGCAACAAATATTCATGAAGATAATAAGCAAATGCATCTTTCAAAAAAAAATCACAACTGGCCATGGCACTACCATGTTACAATCTCTAAAAAGCTTCTCTTTTTCATATAGTCTAGGCTCCAAAACAAAATGTGTCTCAAGGGATGCATAAGGAAATCCAGTAGAGGGATATGATGGATATCTGAAATACTTTTTTATATAACCAAAAATAAGGTAAGCTATATTAATAACCATGTGCAGGCTAAACCATTATTTAGTCAATGTGTTTGATGTGATGGCACATAAATACTTCAGGACATATGGATATCTTAAAGGGGAATGGGAATTCCAATTTGCAAGAGGGACCACTGTCTTCTCATTTGCTGACTGAATTTCAGTCTGCTAATACATTAGTTACTACTCACATGTGCTTTGATATATGAATCAATGCAACCTAGGTACATATACTATATAAGGACAAAAACCAAGTCTCATGAAATCAACATTTGGCTTTAAACACCTTTCACAAATGATCCAAGCATTGAAGGTACTATTCAAATATTCATCATGAAAGCACAAATAAAACATAAAGGAGACAAAATGAATATACTACAGGAGCCCCATCTTAAGTTCCAAATAATAATGATGTACCTAGATACATATAAAACAAAAGTAATCATCAAGAAGAAAGCTGAACTTACTGAAAGCGTAGCATATTATTACCAGTTGTTATTTATAAATTAGATTATTATCATTAACAATTATATCTTAATGTGAGAAAAATCTATTTTATACCACTAGAGAAATATCTGTCTGAGTGCCCAAATCTGGTGAATACCTCCTCTATATCATATTTTGTGACTTTCCATATTATTAGCCCCACCATCAGCAAATACCTACAATATCTAAACTCCCTTGCAAACATCTGTTATGCAGCATAGTCCCATCTGCAGTTTGTACCCAATCGGAGAAAGTTATCATTACCAAGCAAGTCAGAGAACTGACTCCTCTCCCACCTAGCAGAGTAACTCAGTTTTCCTCTAAGTAGTGGTGTTTTTTTTTTAAGCTTTCAATTACCTGAGTTACCTACTAGAGGTATCATAATTTGGATGTATGCTTTTCTTTTTCTTTTTAAAGATTTATTTATTTATCATGTGTACAGTGCATGCCAGAAGAGGGCACCAGATCCCATTACAGATGGTTGTGAGCCACCAGTGGTTGCTGGGAATTGAACTCAGGACCTCTGGAAGGACAGCCAGTGCTCTTAACCCCTGAGCCATCACTCCAGCCCCGGATGTATGGTTTTCTAAGAGCCAGTAAAGGGGTTATGTTTCCCACTGTCTCTTAATTCAAAGAGCCTTCCACCATGCTTTAGGTCCATAAATTGTCAAAAGTAGATCATGTAATTTGCAACTAAGATCTTAGTCACTACAATAATCATTTCTACAACACAGTTTTATTCATTACTTATTATTTCTTTTACTATTTGTACTTTACATGTTGAATATGGGAATATAAATTATGAAAAATCATGAACATATACTTTGAACACCATTATACCAATGTAAACCTCAACCTCAAGTTCCTTAACAAACAAATATCAAGAGAATGAGGAGATATACTGAAAGCTGCTGAAAGTACTTAGAAATATTGTATTTAATAAAATGTTATGATGCAAAAGATACTCACATTTATTTATTTTTATTTGAACACAACGCGCGCGCGCGCGCGTGTGTGTGTGTGTGTGTGTGTGTGTGTGCACGCGCGCGCGCGCACCATGATGCATGTATGGAGTTTATGTTACCTTAGCCTTTATCAGTGCTTTGTGTAGGCCCATTTGGAAAAATCTACTTCTCTGGCCTGGGTGGAGACCTAATATTCGAAGCTTCCCAAATCATAAAGCAGTTAATCCAACTGTGTGGTAAATCACCTGACCAAGGCACCACCCTAAAGCAGTGAAGAGAATCATTATGATTGTGAGCTCACAAAAGCTATGCTAAAGAGACAGATGAAGTAATTACCCCTTTAATGACATATTGTACTTTTTCTTCCCAGAATTCCCTCTCCCTAGTGCAGTCCCTGTGATCTATGGACAGACTCTGTTGGGCCCATCTACTTTTATAAATCCTAACTCAAAAGGCCTATTTTTTATGTCTTGATGTTGGTTTTGGTGACACATTAGGCTTCCATATTATTTTATAAAGCTCCCTTCCTGCCATGTAGATGACCTCCATGCTTCTTAAATTCAAGGGCATGGCTTGTTTTCCTTCTCTTCTCCATTCTCTTGCAAGCAGCTTCCAAGATTTATAGTTTGCCTGCCCTTTTAAACTCTATTAATCTTTTAAACTGTATTACTCTTTTCCTTGAGCTTTTGTTTGGGACTGTTGTTAAATTTTCTTATTAATGAGACTAAAAACCCAAGGAGGGAATCTAAATTCTCTGGTATCCAGTCAAAATCATGGAGGAGCTTCCCAAAATTTCTAGTAACAGTTAGAGGACAACTAGTGGGAGAGTGGGTTCTCGACTTCCACTATCTGGGTTCCTCAATGGGATGGAGTGCACATCTTAAAGCTTGGTGCAAAGGACCGATACCTGCTAAGTCATTTCCTCCTCAGCCCTCAACAATAGCTTCTTCCAAATGAAAACCTAGCTTCAAATAGCATGCTAAAATCAGAATCAGCTATTGTGATCACAACAATCACAGACATTCTTCAATAAACACAAAACTTTGAGTTTAGACTTATAGAACCTATAGTTCCAATAACATCATGAAGTTTCAATCTCTCATTGAAAACTGAAACAAAGTAATCTAACAAATATAATGGTCAAACAAAGCCTGATATAATGGAACTAAAATGCACATAGGAGTTCTCCTTGGATTTGACTGCCACTCTCACAGGTAGTATATAGTAGGTTATTGAACATACTGTTCTGGTTTAATTAGCATCATACAGCCCTTGTTTCTGTATTTTCTCCCCTCCTTTCCTAAAATGTACTCATAACAAGCATTACATTCTCTGCCATCTTTACTTGGCTCTTCTTTTTCTTATAGTGTTTCTCTATTCTTGAGAACTTCATTGAATTGCTCTATATCTTGCCCTCCATTATATTAACTTTAGAATATCTTCCTTGACAACAACTATGAAATCAAGGTTATGATTTTGAAACCTTAATCACTTAGCTAAACTACAATTCTTTCCTGACTGCAAGATTCATGTTTTTAGCCTTATTTGGAAATTTTTGCTCCAAGGGAGTCATGTCAAAATCTCAAATTAACTCTAGGTAGATCACATTATTCTTTCTCCAAAAATTCTTCCCAACACTCATTGGCATTACTTGTCAGTCCTCGATCTAATACATTACTCTTACTTCCTTTGCATTTTAATGAAGTCCAATTCTCTGTGAATTTGTCTTTAATCACTTAAAAAAATTGTTTTAGCAGGCACATGGATGGCCACTCTTTTATTATACACTTTCCATTTTTATACTATATTCAATATTCATTTTAAAATACTGGTAAGTATGTACTCTCACTCAGTGTGAGAAGTAAATTTCAGTTCTTCAAAAAGTTTAATGTTTACTGAGACCATCAATCAATAGAAACTGGAAAGTGTCATGATAGAGGTTAGTGGTATAAATGGATGGTGGGACATAATCACGATTACTTTTTTCAAGAGTTGGTATCTTCATGATGTGACTGTGACAACTGTGAGTGGGTAAGATCCTATACTAACCAGTCTATTGCCACATTTTCACTCCTGAAAAATAGTCGTGTGTGTGTGTGTGTGTGTGTGTGTGTGTGTGTGTGTGTGTGTGTGTGTTTCTGTCCCCCTTTTCATACTATATATAATGGACTATGATTTATTTATCATTATATCTCTAATAGATAGCAGTGTCTGTTGTTGACTATGACACTAAATTATATTGCTAAATGAAGTTTTCCTTTTGAAAATACTGCTTCCATTCATTGATTTTAAACTGGGTTAAGCCTAATAATAATAAAAGATTTTTGAAGATTTTTTTATTTTTATGTGCATAAATGTATTTATTTGCATGCATGTATATGCACCACATGTGTACATCTGATGTTACAAATCTGGAGTTACAAATGGCTGTGAGCTGCCACTACTTCAGCTCCATTACATGAAAGTTTCCAGCAAACTTTTGTTCAACATAGTTCTTTGCTAAGCAAACTTGAAGTAATAATTTTTGACAGATAATGGAGTTATTTTTCTAATCTTAAACTTCTATGACATTTGACTTTCTCCTTTGATTT